CACAGCGACCTCCGGCTCCAAGAGAAGGACGAGCTGCGGTGGAAGAAGCTCAAGGCCGAAGGCCTGGACGAGGACGGCGAGAAGGAGGCCAAGCTGCGCCGGGACCTGGACGGTACGAGCCCCCCCCCCCGAAAGAGAGAGAGAGAGAGAGGCGGAGGGGGGGCCGCTTCCCGGAGAGTTGGAGGCCTGAAGGGGCTACTCGGCGCTTGGGAGAGAGAGAGAGAGAAGGAAGGAAGGGCCCGGGCCGGCGTCCTTGCAGCGCTTTCTGGCTGCAGAGTTTTTCTAGGGAGGAGGAGGAAGAGGCGAAGGGCCACCGTTTTGAGGGAGGGGGGTTCTCTGAAGAGAGGGGAACGGGGGGGGGCAGAGGCGTTGCAAGCCTTTGGGTTCCCAGGAAACCCCCCCCCCCCGCTGCCCCTTGGCCTCCATGGGGCAGAAAGCAAGGGGGGCCGTGGGCTGTTAAGCAACCAAAACTGACCATCATCCTGGTCCCATTCATGCCCAGGCCCTCCTGAGCTCCTCCCAGGACAGGCGGGAGCTGCTCTCCTTCCCCAGGGGGAATCTTTCCCTTTGAGGAAGGTCCCTCTCCCCCCCCCCCGAAGCACCAAGGCTGCCAGATAGGAGAGGAAAGACAGTCGCCGGTTGTGACATGGGCACCTTGCTGAGAGCAGGGGTGGGCTCAGCCCAGGCGCTGACGTCTTGGTCTCGTCCCCAAGAGTCCTGCCTGGAGGAAGAAGGCTTTTTGTTTTTAAATATCAGATGGTGGCTTTCTCTTCTTCCAGAAGCAGTACTTTTGACCTTTGCGGGTGAGGAAACCTCCCTGCCCCCACTGTAACTGCCCAAACAAGCCCACCGAGGAGGTCACGGGGACCAGAGGAGGCCCCTGCGCTGGCTTTCCCTTCTCACGGGGTGACAAGAGATGAAGTTGCCCCAAGGAGCAGAAACTGGCTCTGATAATTTGGTGCCAAATTCTTCCTATTGGATTACATGAGCTGCCCTTATTCATTAATTAATGATTACCTAGAAGACCCCAATTTCTAAGGGCACTTCCCCATTGTTTACTCCCTTAGCTTGCACCCTTTCTTATCAGTAATCTGGGGAAGAGAGCCTGCACTGTCTTAACTTCATTAACAAGTGGGCTATTTATTCGAAAGGCATTTCCCAGCAGAAAGGGTCATGACCTCTCACCCTAAGGTCCCCGTCTTGGACTTAAGTGCTGGGTGATGACTACGATTAGGGTGTCTCCTCACTTTTCTGTAGTGCGCTGAGTAGGGCACAAGGACAAAAAAGTAAAAGAAGAAAGGGAAGGAAAAACCAAGGCAAAATCACGTAGTGCTTGAAAAACAGAACTAGTTTATTTCATTGTAAGCTCTTCTGGATCAAAATCCTCTTATTCTGACCATTTGTCAATACATTTCAGTTATGAAACCCTCTCCCTACAGAGGCTCAGTGGGTAAAAGACATATGCTGCAGTCTTTTCCATGCCAAATTGAGAGTTTTTTGATGTGTTGTCGTATTTTAGTCATTTGAGGGAATTATGTCTTTCATTCAGATATCCGGAGGTGAGCAACTTTGGTGCCACAGCAGCACATCCCAAGTGTTCACCTCCTGAAGAACTCTCCACCAGAACAGGGGGGCAAAAAAGCAGAGCAAGGGGGGAAGCATGGAAGTGCAACAGCTTGACTGCATGTTTGGAGAAGTTGTGGCTTGTGGATTAAAACCTCTAGACAAATTGTCCTTGCCCCACCTGGTCAGAGACAGGCACGCTGTCCCTGCTGAATCAGACCAGACTCCCATCTGGAAATCTAGATTTCCTTCTCCTCTAGTAGCTCGTTTAGAGGGTTGTGGAATGGCAGCAAGTACTAGGTGGTTGACAAGTGGACCATTTGCGGATGTCTGGTTTTCCTTCTGCTCTTCCCTTGCTCTTGGAGACAAAACGTGTGGGTAACTTAATAGCCTTGGACAAAATGGTCAAGGCTTTGCTTGTGTTTCCGTTGCAGTAATTCTGGCTAAATATGGAATGAATGGGAAGAAAGATGCTCCACTTGGGGCCACAAACTACATCAAAGATGGTCTGGGAGATGATATACTTGATGACCCCAGGTTGGAGAAGTTGTGGAACAAGGTCTGTATGAATTCCCAGTGATGTGTGTGTGTGCACGTGCGCATGCATGCACATGCTTGTTTATGTTGCATGGGTTTTGCATTCAGCTCTTTTTGGGGGTGGGTTTTTTTAACTAAAGGAAAACAGTACTAACAACGCTAACGTAAAATACGTATACATACATACCATACATTACTACTAAAATTTTCCCCGTGCCACCATCACCAGTTCTTTCCGCTTTGACTAGAGAGCTTCTCCCCTTGAAGCTGGAATTTGTGCTATTCGTACTGTCTTTAGGAACTGCTGCGTAGGAGTAGCAACTCGTTGCCCCTGCAGGATTGAGGAAGAAGGAAATGGTCTTCCCGAGGACAACACTGTCCTTCTTTCTGCCCTTCCTCATAATCAGAGACCAAAGCATAAGGCAGAAGTCATGAGTCGCTGTCTCTAGCATCCTTGTGGTCCTCTTGGTGTTTGGCAGATGCCTGCCTGCTGCCTCAGGATGTGGGAAAAGACTGGTTGCCTTTCCGGGCACAGTGGAATACTTGCTTGGGCAATAGGGCTGCATTTCGCTCATGAAAGGCCTTCCATGACCCTTTTCTGGTTGTTAGTTGGAGATGAGGCACCACAGCGAAATGCTCTTGATAAGACAGCAGAGAGAACAAAATGGATCCCACAGAACATCTCCCAAAGTGCTGTTCTCCAAAAATAAGGGATGCGTTTCCTGAGGGTGTTTCATTTGGCGAAACGTGGCATATCCATCCTGCTTATTGGTATCCCTTGGGTCTGTCTCTCTTCAAGGCAAAAGCCTCAGGCAGGTTCTCAGATGAAGAACTGGAGAAGCTGTGGAGGGAGTTTAAACACCACAAAGAGAAAGTCCACGAATACAATATTCTGCTAGAGACCGTGAGCCGGACGGAAGGTAACTGGAGGCCTCCCTGCTTGTCTGGGGCACAGGAGGGGGAGGGTAGGAACAGTCTGTGTGTGTGTGTCAGTGGGAAGCTGAGTCTCATTACAGTGTCACAGAATCAGAGAATCCTAGAAAAGGGAAGTTGGAAGGGGCCTAACGAGGCCATCAAGTCCAGCTCCCTGCTCAGCGCATTAATACCATCAAAGCATACCTGCCAGGTGATGATCCCAGTTTTTCTTCAAGGCCTCCAGGGTTGGACCTCCCCTGGAGGTCGTGGGTTCCACAGTCGGACTGCTCTAGTTTGAAGTCTTGAGGTTTCGGCTGCATGTCTTTTATTTGTTGCTATTGTCCTCTTGCCTTGAATTAAGAAAAAGAGGTTAAGGTAGCCTGAACAATGGGCAATAACCAGTTACAGTAGTATAATAAAGGAAGAAATCATGTGATACGATTGTATAAAATCAGGTAAAACCGTTAAATGGTAATGAGTCAAGAAGAATTATGATCCAAGTCCTCGTGTGCAGCTTAATGTTGCTCAAGCAGTAGCTGTGTTGTGGCTGAAGGGGGGAGGTGGGATCCCCAAAGCTCTTCTGCCGGCAGTCCCCCTGAGGACGTGGAGCCGATTGCACAATTTCACGCCACAGTGCCTTATCGTGGGGCGTCATGCATGCTGCATTTCTTTACGTTACACCTGTGCAAACAGGCTACTGGTTCTGAATTGTGTTTGAGCTAATCAAAGGCTAATCTTGAAATATTTTGTGTCATTGTTAGTGTGGCTCTGTGAAGTGCAATACAGCATCAAAGCTAGATTTTCCTATTTCCCTATAACCAGTTTTCCCAGAGAACAGGATATATACTGAGAATCTGTTTAAATGGGACTGTTTTGTGTTATATTCAAGAGTGGTTTTTACACTGTTTGACACAGAGGTATCATAAATATTAGAAAATGATACCACAATGAAGCACTATGAGCTAAAACAGGACACACTGCCCACAGCATCTTGACGAGGCGCAAGGCCAGGTGGAAACTGGAAGGTCTGGGCCTTTGTGTTCACTTTCAGGCTTCTTGGCCAAGAAGCCAATTGTCTGGTTTTGAATGTGGAAGGAATTAAAATCTGCAGGCAAAAGGCCGCACATAATGTTCCTTTTGGTTCCAAGCAAATAAAGAGTGGGCGTTACTGCTGATGTCTCTTCTATTGCTGAATCTGGAGACACAAGTTATTTCACACTGGCTGCACAAGGTCACAGCTGTTCCCATTTTCAGTGGGGGGTGTTAACAGAGTTTGCGTAGTGGTTTGTGTTGTGGCGCAGTGGTTAAAACGCTGTACTGCAGCTAAAACTGTGCTCACGACCTGGGGTTCAAATCCCAGGTAGCCGGCTCAAGGTTGACTCAGCCTTCCATCCTTCCGAGGTCGGTAAAATGAGTACCCAGCTTGCTGGGGGGGCAATGTGTAGCCTTTATAATTAAAATTGTAAACCGCCCGGAGAGTGCTTGTAGCACTATGGGGCGGTATATAAGTCCAATAAATAAATAAAATAAATAAATAAATAATGCACAGCAGTGGAGTCTAGAAGCCTGCCAAAGGTAGAACAGGACTGCCAAGAGGCCTCTACCTTTTGGCAGCCGGCTTCACATAGCGCTGGTCCCAGGGGTGCCACTTGGCCTCAGGTGGGTTTCAGAACAAATTTGGAAGCCCTGCTCGACTGGCCTGGTGAAGGGGGGGGGCTTGTGACTCTCTGCCCGCTCCGTTTTGCCAAGGGGAATCCTCCCTAGGAGAGCTTCTGCGAGGACACGGGTCCTTTCACCCAGACCAGCCGCTCCCTGCTGATGGCACCAGATTTCCCTCCAGTTTTCTCCCATTGACCACGTTTCCCTTAATTGTCAGACAGCCACAAGAATGTGATCAGCCTGGCGGAAGAGGAGAGCCCCTTCAAGGAGGAGCTGCTGCACAACAAGCACTCGGAGCTCAAGGAGAAGCTCCACAGCATCAACCAAGGCTTTGAGCGCCTGCGGAGAGTCAGCCACCAGGGCTACGACTCCACCAGTGGTATGGCCCCCCTCCCCTCCCTGTGGCACTAGGTGTGGGAGGCAGGGAGGATTTGGGCCCAGGAACTGACAAAGGCCTTTGGTCATTCCACCAGTGCCCCCCCCCATGGCCAGTTAGTTGTCAGACGTAGAAGCTCTGGAATGTGCATGGGTCCCGTGTGATCTCTCGGCCAATGCCGGAGGAAAGGAAAGTGTCTGCTCTCTGGAACCGGCCCCGTCGCAACCAGGGAGGGGAGATGTGGGCCGGCTGGTCGCTTTCCTACTGGAGTTGTTTAGGTGGAGGAGCAGGTGGGGGCCGGGGATCTGCTGTCATCAGCCAGGATGGACTTTCTGATCCAAGAACCCCATCCCAGAGGCTGTTCCTGGGAGGCTGGAGGGGCAGCTCTGTCCAGGGTGCTCCATAGGGAACCGGCCCCGTCGCAACCAGGGAGGGGAGATGTGGGCCGGCTGGTCGCTTTCCTACTGGAGTTGTTTAGGTGGAGGAGCAGGTGGGGGCCGGGGATCTGCTGTCATCAGCCAGGATGGACTTTCTGATCCAAGAACCCCATCCCAGAGGCTGTTCCTGGGAGGCTGGAGGGGCAGCTCTGTCCAGGGCGCCCCATAGCTCAGCAGGCAGGCAGGCAGGGAGCGGAGAAGCCCAAAGGCCCTCTTTCGCCCTCTTCCCTCCCAGCCCAGGGCATGAGCTCAGCAGCCTGTCCCCTGTGCCCACACAGATTGCTCTCAGGGCAGGGAGTGTTTTTGAAGCCTACAGCTCCCACCCTTTTCCACCCATTCTCTCCCTCGCTTTTATGAAGACAGCCTCTGCTTGTTCCAGAATGGATTCCCACCTGGTAATGGGCAAGAACGTTCTCTCTCGGGAACTGAATAGAAAGGGTTGCCAGGGCAGTTGGTAGCAGGGAACACGTTCCGACCAGCTGCAGAGTCAGGGGGCTTGTGCTGTGTGTTGTGTGTTTCCTCGGCACAGAGCAGATGACAAGAAATCCCGTCATGCTGTTGCCGCTGCTTATTAACTGTAGGACTCTTCTTGTTTCTCCCTCCAGAATTTGAGGAGCCCCGAGTGATTGACTTATGGGATATGGCCAAGTCAACTAATTTTACACAGGAAGAACTTGAATCACTTCGGGTGAGTTTCCTAAAGGTCATACGTTTTTGTTTCTTTTGCCAGGGGTGGTGGGGGTGGGGGTTTCTTATACTGATGACCCCAGTATCCTCCTTCTCATTCTCTTGGGTGATGTGAAGACCTGGCAGTGTTGACTCTCCAGGAGGGTTAATGCATCCAGACAAGCCCCTTTCTGCTGGACTCGCCTTCTGGGAAAGGGCTTGAGGCCTCTGCCTCGCGTCATTGCCGTGTCTGGAGCACAGAGTGATGGCCACCCAGGGTACAGGTTGGGAGGGGCACGAGAGAGAGAGAGAGAGACCGGCTGGCAGGGCGACTGCCCGCTGCCTCTTGTTCAGGGTGTCTCTGTGCTTGTTTCCAGGAGGAACTGAAGCATTTCGAGGCCAAAGTGGAAAAGCACCACCACTACCAGAAGCAGCTGGAGATCTCTCACCAGAAGCTGAAGCACGTGGAAGGGATGGGGGATGATGAGCACCTCAGCAAACACAAGGAGAAATACGCCATGCTGCAAGAGAAGACCAAGGACCTGGGCTACAAGGTGGGGAGAGAAACAGACCCAGCTGGGATGGATCCGCTTTTGGAGCGATGGCAGGGTCAGGTCAGGTTGGGTCGCCCTGTGGGAGAGAAACCCCCTGGAGCCTTCAAGCAGGCGCCCTTCTTTAGGGCCCGCTGGAGTCCCAGACCGCTGGGAGAGGAAACAGGCCGTGCAGGCCCTGGAGTGTCCTAATGGTAGCAGGCCAAGTTCCAGGAACAGCCCCTTGCCCTCCCCCTTCGCTTTCTCAGAGGCTCGTTTGCCGGTGGGCTCTCGCCTCCCGCTTGGGCAGGAGAGATCAGAGTCCAGAGCAAGAGCCACCGAGGCTTCTGGGCACCTAAAGGACTAGCAGTCGTCTGGCGGCTTCTGCTTTCATGGGCTGGAGCCCGACAGCTTGGTCTGATTTGGTAGACAAGGACTTCAGAGGAATGCTGCGCTGGGGCCAGGCAAGGCAGGGCTCCCAGGGCCAGCCTCTCATTCCTGCTGGGGCCCACCCAGAAACCCTGATGGGAAGCGATAGGAAGGACATGAGGCCGATGTTGCCTTGAGGAAAAGGAGGGGGGGTAGAACTGTATCTATATTTCCACTGTTTCACTCTAGTAGAGGCCTTAAGAAGAGCGACCATTAGACCATGAAACTAGAGCTACATCAATAATTAATTCAAGTTAAAATCTCTTAGAACAACAGGTGCAAGGGTAAAAAGTGGTAATGGCTCATAAAATAATGTAAGCTAAGCATTTTTTTATTTAATAACAAGAAGAATAAGAATAGCAATGCTTGAAGCATGAGAAATTGTGAAGTGACAATGTGATTAGTGTAAAAGGCAACAAAGTAATGCATGAAATGACAAAAAATGATATAAGGTTAATATATTATGGTAAGGAAAAAAAAATAACTAGTGGCATTATTAAATAAGTGAAAAATAGGTATAAAGTTTATAAACCTACCAGCATCCTCCAGGCAAAGTACCTTAAAAGCAAAACTGAATAAATCCTTTACTCAGCCGGTAAGGGATGACTGAAGTGTGCTAAAACCGTAAGGTGGGGGGAAGCAGGTGGGCATTGCTATAAACCACAGGATCTCCTGAAACCTGTGAGTCCCCAAGATGGTAGAAATAAGAAAATTCCAATGAAGGTTTCCAGGCAAGGAATCTAAAAACAGAATTTAAAAAAAAGTCAGAGGAAGCCTGGAGAAGTTCAGAGTCCAGCTTAGGCAACAGGGCGAGAGAGGAAAGCGATGGCCAATCATTACCTCCATGCGCCCCATATCCTGCCCAAGGATAGAAGGAAGATCTTAGAAGCAGTCTCAGCAAACAGTGGCCTTCTCTCCAGGAAAAAAAAAAGCAAAGACGGCCCAAGAAAGTAAGGGCTGGGAAATACTTCACCAGGGTTGATAAATAGCCTTTTCTACTCTTTAAAAGTTCTTTGTCATTTCAGTGGTTTTCCCTTTCCCTCCATGCGCCCCATATCCTGCCCAAGGATAGAAGGAAGATCTTAGAAGCAGTCTCAGCAAACAGTGGCCTTCTCTCCAGGAAAAAAAAAAGCAAAGACGGCCCAAGAAAGTAAGGGCTGGGAAATACTTCACCAGGGTTGATAAATAGCCTTTTCTACTCTTTAAAAGTTCTTTGTCATTTCAGTGGTTTTCCCTTTCAGATTTTGTTAGGAACT